TAATCTACACAAGCCATTGCCATGGAACAGCGTAGGCTCCTAAGCTGTGCATTGTCGTACATGACTGTAAAGAGGTTAGAATATCGTAGGTTCGGGAGCCTAGTTATAGTTCGTCTTTGGTTATCGTCAGCACGCCTGTTAGTAGCCGCTTCTGTTCACCTGTGTATCTGACATAACATCCTTACAACTAACAAATAAAACCTTTTGAAATGCACTGATTTAATGAACCCTAGATCTCAGCAACCCAAAGAGTAAGAACATCATCAGACAGCATCTGAGGCCTCCCGGTCAGAGTCCCCTCGTTCTGCTGTAACCTGCCTTTTACTATCTCCTCCAATACATTTTCAAAGTACCTCCTTTTATTTATAACTTTCTTCATTCTCTTACTTAACCAAACCATTACCACATTGGAATGTGGAATTTAGGTGATCTAAATTTGTTTTTTTTCAGGCCCTGGTCAATCATATTTGGGTCCAGAATAAGTTATCTCATATTAGTTTTTACATTGACAGTGTTGTTCACTTTCTAATAAATACAGCATTAAAGTAAAAAATGCCAATTTTACTGACTGTATATGTACATGAATGTACCTGGTGAATTTAGGACATTATCATAACACTCATGAATGAAGCAAAAGCTCTGTATGAGTGACCTTGTCATGGGTATGGTCTGTGTGTTAGAAAAGAGAACGGTCTTTCAGAGAGAAATGGCAAAGCAGATAGCAGCCTCTACACCTGATGGTTGAAATTTGCTCTGCTGTAGTGAATACCTGTGCAGCATCAAGCCGATCAACATTTCACCTCACAAGTAATAGGAGCTCACAAAGCTGCAGTCCCAACCCTAGCTGAGGACCTGTGAATAGTTGATGGCTGATGGGCTGGGAAAGTCAGTTTTCTGTGAGTATGTGGCCCTTGGTAAATAGACAACACTCTAGTCGATGACTCCACACCCATGAACATATGAGCAGCCATAACTGCACTTGGTGGATTAAAAGCAACATCTACAAAAAGGATTCAAAGTTGGAGGGATTCAGAGACAGTGGGAGGCTCTGTGGGTAGCCAGGGGAAAAGTGGGGTGAATTTTATCAAAATACATTGAATACATGAACAAAATTTTCAAAGAATAAACTTAGCATATTGTAAAATAAAATAAGACAGGCTTTCTTTTGTCCTTGTATCTGGAAAATTTTCTAGATTCAACCTCATGTTTCTGGGTGAATTTAGTGTCACAGGCTGTTACACGCAGCATGTGTGATGTCATCTATTAACAGCTGTGCAGAGAAGGCATTCACCATTAGATTCACCGGGGTTCAAACTGATTACCAAATAAAGGTACAGCGATTAACAATTTCAAAAGCAGAAAGATTTCCAGGCTTCAAGGAGATGTAAGTAGGAAGATGTTATAAATATGGAGATCTCAAGGACAAAAAAAAAAAAGTTTGGCAAGCCAGTTATTTAGCTAACCATGAACCAGCTCCTTTCCAAGGCTGCAGTGACACCCTCGTCTACATCACTGGAGAACCAACATAGACAATGACAATACACGTGCCAGTGCCAACTAGGCAACCCTCCTTCTCTTGACCGATAATGCATTAAGCGTTCATAGGATGACCTCCAAGAATTAAATGAAGCTTCAAAATGAGCTGGGCTTCAATTCATTCAGGTGACTTTTATGCTAAGAAAACCATAAAAGTGAAAAGAAAGTCCATCTTTCAGTTTCAGATATAATTGTTCACAAGGAGTTCAAGGTTACCCCCTCTATGAAGGTGGCTCCCACTCAATTATTTTGGGTATGATTGGAATATATAAATAAAGTGTCTAGTGACTGCTAGCAAGAAGAGTGAGTTTAAACAAAGCACAGATTCACCCACTGTTACTGCCCTGCTAAGAAGGAATCCTTCAGGAAGATGAGCTACAAACACCAATGAGAGTCAGAGGGGGTAGTGCTCAATGGGCACAAATAATATGCATTGCACAAATGTATGAAACTTTCAAAGAAAAAATATTTTTAAAGGAATAAGACTATTCTAAAGAGGTATTTGTGTCCCTCCATTCAAATCCATCAGATTTTTATTTTTATTTTTTTTTATTTTTTTTATTGAGAATAGGAAAAAAAAAGTTTCCACCTCCTCCCAGCCTCCCATTCCCCTCCCCCTCCCCCACTCTCCTCCCCCTCCCCCCTCTCTTCTCCCCCTCCCCCCACTCCTCTCCCCCTCCCTCTCCAATCCAAAGAGCAGTCAGGGTTCCCTGCCCTGTGGAAAGTCCAAGGTCCCCCCCCCCTCCATCCATGTCTAGGAAGGTGAACATCCAAACTGGCTAGGCTCCCACCAAGCCGGAACATGAAGTAGGATCAAAACCCCTTGCCATTGACCTTGGCTTCTCATCAGTCCTCATTGTTCGCCATGATCAGAGAGTCCGGTTTTATCCCATGCTTTTTCAGTCACAGTCCAGCTGGCCTTGGTGAGCTCCCAATAGATCAGCCCCACTGTCTCAGTGGGTGAGTGCACCCCCCGTGGTCCTGACATCCTTGCTCCTCTTCTCCCTCCATCTGCTCCTCATTGGGACCTTGGGAGCTCAGTCCAGTGCTCCTCCATCAGATTTTTAAAACAGTAGATCCCAAAGTATTTGGATCCGAAAGTATTTGGAGTTTCCTTAAGAATTTCATGGAAGGACAAGTAAAAGACTGGGGCCTGGTGCCCCAGAGAACTATGTCTCAAAGGAAAAAGATTTCATACAATTCTTACATTCTTGTGGGGGGGACACTGGGACTCAGACAAGGAGGAAATAGCAATAAGTTAAAATAAAGCCTCAATTTGTACTGTTAGCTACAAATACACATCTTGCTGTTTATTTAAGCCTAAATGTGACATGAGGACCCTAAAGATAACTGGAGCAGGAGTGCAGTTCCAAAGTTCTTTGTTCTTCCCAATGTGATCACACCGAATAATTGCTTTTCTTTTTTGCTATCCTGAATTTGTTCAATCAGATTATTAAGGCTAAGTAGCTGAACCTGGCTTATGCGGAAATGTCAGGACCCAGGCTTTGATCCCAGTAACTCAAGGAAGACAACCGCTCTGAAAACAGTCATTGTCTTCCAGCTATGGATAATATGGCAACATATCAGCGGTATTTACACAGACTGCCTGCATATTCCAATTTCAAGGATTACTTTGATAGCAAATCCTTGTTTATACACTATTTCTCTAATGGATTAGGCCATCATAGCCGTGGTTTAGCCATGCAGATTTGCCCCCATGTACCATCTCATGATCAAATTAATCCAAGATGCTTAAGGAAATGGCTAAAAAAATGTAATTAACACCTAATACATGACTTTCAAATCTTGAGCCTTGTAAAAGTAATATTTGTATCCTAATCTTTGTTTATTTCAGCCTAGCCTGCAGTTCTTTGCTGGGATGTCTGTTTCCTTAGGTGTTATGATACCATGGTGTCAACTGTACACAAAAGAGGAACGCATGTTTAAACAGTACGAGCTAGTCTGAGAAGGGAGTTAAAGGCCTTGATTTTTTTTTCTTCCATTTATAATCTGACAATAGCAATATCTACAGTTTGGTTCAAAATCACAGTCAATAAAGAGAAGGATGAGTCATCATTTAAAATCTAATAATTTACAGTGTTCCTAATGTTTAAAGAACTCTGGAACCATCCCTTTTATCAGTTCCTTTGATGAAAGCATGTGTTGACAACTATGAGAACAATTAACTGTGATCACATCCTGGGGATGACGATCAAGGGTAAACCCATGCAGCAGGATAGCCCTTGATAATAATGTATTTTACTAGCCATATTTAAATTATAAATATATTCATTTGTGATAAAACTATACCAGGTAAGCCATCATAGAGAAAAGGCAAAATTCTGTAGATAGCTAGTCTCAAATTTATGAACAATTACAAAGGAAAATGCAAAAATATATTAAGAAAATCCCTTCATTGTAGTCTCTCTATATAATACAAATGCTATGTCACAGAGTCATATTCCAGCTAATATTAACTAATATTTGTTCAGGGAAAATGGCAGTAGGTATCAATTAAAGACATGCATTCATTTTTTTTTAAAGATACATTCCTGTTCTAGTTTCTTTTGAAGAATTTTCTTGACGTCAGAAAAGCAAGTTTGATTTGACCCTTGCCCTCATGAGTTACAATAACTTCTTTTAATAGTGTCTAGAAATTAATGGTTAGTATCTTATTATTAAGACTTTATCATAAAATTATAGTATGCAAAAACATCATATTGTAAAGCAAAATTAATCAAACCCAAAGTCTATATACATCTCAATGAAAATATTTTTAAACACTTAGAATAGCCATTCTGAGGGTTTGTTAAAACATTCAAGAAGAAATAGATCATTGTAAGATCATCATTATCTGAAAAATGGCAAAATTTTGCCCTATCATACAAATGACACATATTTTCATGCAAATGATATATTATTTTCTTACAAATGAATATAAATGAAGTATTACATCTAAAGAAAGTGAGTGTCAACAATGAACTCTTTCCCCTTGAGACGTTTAGCATGCACAATCAGACAAATTACAGCCACACAAAGAAGACTTGCAGTTGTCTTCACAAATATATTTTTCCTGATTAATTTAGCTATTAACTCTTCTTATTAGCATCCATTAAGACAAACAAATGCTTAAGTAACCACACACTGGTTTTCTTTTATTTTCTTATTTTAATACAACTTTGATTTCAGAAAAGTTGAAGCAGTTTCATTTTTAGGGCAGACAGAAGGACAAAGTACATTAGAGACACTACAGTCAGTTTTAGATGCGGAAGACAGCTGTAGAGGTAGTGATGCATTGTTGAGATCCTGGTTCTCTCTATGATGAGCCTGAATTCTCACCCGGTTAGATAACACATTTGTGAATCTCAAAAAATTACAGCAGTACACTCACTTCAAGCATCATTTTTTTTTTCAGTTAAAGAGAATTTAAAACCAACAATATACCTGAAAAGTTTTTCACCTACCATTGATCCACCGAGCTTCTGGATTATGAAGTCCAAATCCTTTCCCCAAAAGCTCCTCTAATGACAATCTTGTTTCTGAAGAATTTGTTAACTCATCTGAAAAGAAAAGACATACAAAGTCAGGAACTTATATTTTTGTTTTTCTTACAAGAATGAGATTTACGATTTAAAATACTTTGCTTCAAAATGCACATAAACTAGACATCAATCTGAAGTGAGCATTTGAAATAGATTTTGACACTCAAAGGTTGTTTCTTGACGCTTTGCTTTGTTTTGCAAGAAAGAGTATTATGAAATGGAGGCTGGACTTTCATTCCTGACTATCTTGCCTCGATCTCCAACACGTTATCATGCTAAAAGTGCACTACCACACCTGGTCTCAAATTTTTAAATAAATCATAGAGTTTTATTATGCAATTGTTTTAGTTGATACCAATTTAGTGGATCTGTCCCAAGGTATACACTGACACACAGATCCCAAGAACAAGGAAGAACTACCGTTTTTGCACTCTTCAGCAAAACCCACTTCTGTGCCTTTGATCATAAGCTATTCCTCACTTTTTACACTATTTAACAGGAAATTTAGCCTTTTGTAAAAAAGCTAAATATGAGAGAGGTGGGGGCACATCGCAGACAAGAGAGAACTTTTGAATCCATGGCAATTTAAATAAACAAAATGAATGCAAAATTGTACCACACAATTAGCACCTAGCAAGAGCTAAGCAAATCATATTCTTAAATGCCACGTTCAAAGAGTAAAGATCTACAAAGGAAACAAGTATTGCACATTAACCCCTGGAAGAGGAGCATGATTTGATTTTCTTTTTATATTCCAAAGCCCAGAAATGGAAGACTATGGCTTGAATTAAAAAGTTGTGTTTGTAACACCCCTTTACATTCATGGGTCTATACAAAACAATTTGTCACTTTTTTTGCAAAATAACAGCATTGTTTATTTGTGAATGAACGAATTCTTCTCGGTGACCTTTTAGCTATGACCTTCCCGCTGACTGAAAACTAAATGTCAAAGATATGTACTAATCTCCCTCGATTTTATCTTTGAAAAGTTCAGCATTTACTGTACCAAGAGCTGGCTGTGGCTTCTCTGCAGTATGTAGGGCGGTCACTCATTTTAAATATAGTCCACTGCATCCATTAACTAACACCATGGCTGCCAAGATAACTTCTTAAAAATGTGAGAAGTATCTGATTTCTGCTTTAGCACCAGACATGACTGTATGCAGATGTAAAAAGCATATAGTAGAAAAAGATATACACCTGATTGTTTACTGAGGAATCAGAAAGGTCAAAATTTGAACTTTCCTGGGGATAGAGGGAACATTCGCAGTTAAGAGCATTTACTTCTTTTCTGAAAGTTCAAAGTTTGGTTCTTAACACCCACATAGGAGAGCTCAAGACTTCCTGTAATTCCAATGCCAGAGTATCTGGTATCTCCTCACCTCTACGGGCACTTGTACACATGTGATATACACTCATAAACACATACAAATCAAAATGACTCTAAAGACATTGAACTTTCTGAATTCTAACAAAAAGTTTCAAATAACAAGTGCCCCTGGAAGGATCTTACATTTACAAAACAAAGCCTGTGACAGAGGGAAGTAAGGATGCAGGATGCTGAGGAGCTTTAGAGAGACCTATAGATTATCTTGCCCAAGATGCCAAAGAAGGCCTCAGGAGCAAATTGATAGCCTTGTCTATAAGAAATTAAACCCTTCAGATGCTCTCAAAGTCAGTTTGGAGTTTTCTAAAAAAACCAACACAGTTTATCTTCTGCATCACTGGAAGTTGGAACCAGGGACACTCACATCACAGGCAAGTACTCAACCTCTGAGCAAGTTTTACATGCTTTGTTTACTATTTCTTTTAGGTTGATGAATCTATGCACATGAATAGACACATGTACACACGTGTGCAACAGTATTTACATATGACCTCGCAGTGAAAGTATACAACACTAAACAGTCTTATGTATAAATAATTATTCAAATACTCTAACAAGTGTTTGTAATCCTCAAGCATGTCCTCTTCTTTAAATATATTGTTATTTCTATTTATGTGTGAGTGGGCACCTGTGTCCAGGTGTCCACAGGGCCAAAAGAGAGTATTTGATCAGCTCTAGTTGAAGTTACAAGCAGTTGCTGAGAGTGGAACTTGGGTCTCCTGGAAGATCAGCAAACACTCTTAACTACTGAGCCATCTTTCAAGGCCCTTCAAACAGGTCTTTTTACATTAAGGAACACATCATACTGGAATCCTCTCATCTAGGAATCCTTATCTCTCTTTATCTACACACACACACACGCACACACACACACACATACACACACACACACACACAGCATCCGAAAGCTTGCTAAAGTTTTCAGTACTAATGCTTAGGATAACTTACTATTCTCATATTTTCTTACATTTGGAATACTCCATTTTTGATTGCTCATGTAGTTTACCTTCAAATTAAATTACTGCTAATAGCTTGAGATTATTGAAAACAGAGTTTTCCCAATGCAAGAGACTATTATAGATAAGATTACTAGAAACTGTATCACAACTAGTCAGAAATTGCATATACATATGAAATTCGGGAGAGAGAATAAAGGAAAATTGTTGATAAATATTAAGGATAATTGAATCTTTTACTTTTCTGAAATTCAGAAATATATCTGAGTAGTTTTTCATAGTCTCTCTTTACTAAAGTTTAATCAGTCTGTTGTTTAATGTATATTTGTTATGAAGTGTAGATTCTTATGCAATTCTAGTGGAAGGCTATCACTTGCAAGTCCTGCATACTCTTCAGTCATAGTCCTTTTATGGAATATAAGAGCAGAGAAAAGGACTCAAATGGTAAGTTCCTTGCCCCGTGTTGACTTTACTATGTGTCCTTGAATTTATTTCCTTGTGTGTTTACTTCTATGTCATTGATGACATCAACCCCAGCAGTCCAGATACAGAAGAGTCATCACCAGGGTCTCACGGAACCCATACCTTCCTCTCATTAACTCCACCCACTCATTGACTTTGGCAACTGGTATTCTCTGTGGATGATTATAATAAGCAGATTGTGTCAGTCTCAGAAAGTCAAGTTCACAAGCCTTCTCTTATAGATGGAGTTGAATTTTATATTAATACTTAAGATCCTATCTGTGTGTATGAACATGCAATGAACAAATGCGAGTAAGAAGGGAGAGAGATAGAAGGCTAGATGTGATGAGGGATATATGTTCAAAATATATTATCCATTTATACGGGACTCAGTACCATGAACAAAGAATATATGTCAAGTTAAGATAATAAAAAATTTTGAGTTAATACTATTGTTCTGTTAAAAGAACATAGCAATAAAATGATCTCTAACAAAATTATGCTCCATCCATAGATCAATGTTAGAGAAGTTTCCTCTTGTAGTTAATGGGAAGTAACACAGATATTTACAATTAGTACACAAAGAATGAAGGATATTGGAGCACTCAGCTCTAAATTGGTTGTCTTCATTAAACCAGCCCTTCACTCAGGACTTAGAGAGCTATGTGGAAGAAAAGGTAGATTGATTGCATTTGCTAGAGGGGATGCATTACACAGCAGGATGGATGCATGCATGAACTCACAGAGACTGCAACAATGTGCATAGAACCTACATAAGGTTAAGCTAGACAACATCCCAGTGTTGAGCTGGGGAAGTGGACATGGGTTCCCCATCTGTAATCAAGAAGCTATCTTTAGTTGATATCTTCCAAAGGAAAATAAACCATCAGTGGTGGAGTCTCACTGGACATATAGATCACACTTCAGGGTAGACACCATGCCTAGCAGTAGATGCCAGTCCCAAACAAACACAGTGGTATTTTAGTAGACATTTTATCTCTTATTGCCTTTTTTTGTACATTTTTTTTGCCTTATTGGTTTTTTGTACACCCTTTTTACAAAAAGGTATGCCTTAGTAAGCTACTTTCACTTTCTTCATTAGTTCTTTTGTACAAAAGCAAGGTCTTTCTTTGTTTCTAACAATACACACACATACACACTTAGGAATGCACATTGCAAAAATGAGTAATCTTTTTTAAAAGGAGACAGGAAACACTTAGAACCTCATACTGAAACCTAGTTCCTCATGTGACAATCAGACATGAGAGTCACATCAAAAATGTGCAGTATTTCATTTATTTTAAAGATTGTCTCAGTAGCTTAACTCCAAAGCTAATTTACAGCCAAGCATTTCAGATGCCATTCAGGTACCTCAGTCACTCCAAGTAAACACTGCGAGGTGGTGCAAAAGCAAACTGGCATTAGGTTGCATAGCACGCTGTCATGCAAAGTTCCTTCCTTAATAACTTCACTGGAAGGGTTTTACATTACATCAATGTAAAAAAAAAATCTTTGCTAAAACTTAATACTTACTTCTTGTAGGGCTTATCATTCTTGGGAAGTTTGTTCAAACATGATTTACTTGAACTGTTTAGTATTTAAATACTAGGGATCTGCTATGGCTAGATTTAAGCTCCTATGCTGGAAGAGAGCTGTCCAGGACAGCTTAGTTCAGAAGAGGACCTTTGGGAAAGGATTGGATTATAAGGACTCCGACCTCACCCTTGGATTACTGGAGTGCTGGGATTATAATGTGATAGGTGAATTTCTGGGATGATAGACACTTAGAGGTAAGATTGAGTTGAAGAACATAGATCTTCAGTAACTCCCTCAGGGACCACATCCTACCCTCAGTTTCCCCTCTTCCCCTCACACCCTTCCTTCCCCCACCCTTTCCCATCTTCTCCACTTCCCTTTCCTATGCTTTGCCATCTCCCCCGCTTTCCTCCAGACCAATCTCCTCCACTTTCTGCTTACCTTCTTTTACTCTTCCCTCTTGTCCCCTTCTTTCTCTTATCCTACCCATTCCTCTGCTTTGCTCTCTTGTTCTCCCTCCAGACATCTTCTTCCCTCTGCTCTTCCATCTTTCTTTTTATGCCCTTCTTTTCTTCTAGTTTGTTTTATAACAATATCCTGCAAAATGGAAACTTTCATTCTGGAGGAAGACTCACTAATGGTTACAGAATTCCAAACCAAAACATGACATCCTGGAT